TCCCCCCTTCGGAACAGCTTTCCGAAGTGGGGCGGCTGGGGCAGGTGTCCCCGCCCCCCCTCCCCGCTTCGGAACAGCTTTCCGAAGTGGGGCGGCTGGGGTAGATGTCCCCGCCCCCCCTCCCCGCTTCGGAACAGCTTTCCGAAGTGGGGCGGCTGGGGCAGGTGTCCCCGCCCCCCCGCCCCGCTTCGGAACAGCTTTCCGAAGTGGGGCGGCTGGGGCAGATGTCCCCGCCCCCCCTCCCCCCTTCGGAACAGCTTTCCGAAGTGGGGCGGCTGGGGCAGGTGTCCCCGCCCCCCCTCCCCGCTTCGGAACAGCTTTCCGAAGTGGGGCGGCTGGGGCAGATGTCCCCGCCCCCCCTCCCCGCTTCGGAACAGCTTTCCGAAGTGGGGCGGCTGGGGCAGATGTCCCCGCCCCCCTCCCCGCTTCGGAACAGCTTTCCGAAGTGGGGCCGGTCTGGGGAATTGTCCCCGCCCCCCCTCTCTCTTCGGAACAGCTATTCCCGGAAGTGGGGCGGCTGGGGCAGATGTCCCCGCCCCCCTCCCCGCTTCGGAACAGCTTTCCGAAGTGGGGCGGCTGGGGCAGATTCCCCCCCCCCTTCGGAACAGCGTTTTAAAATGCTGGGGGTCGGAGCGAAGCGCTGCCGACCCCCAGCATTTTAAAATCTCCCCGGGACAGGGGGAGATTTTAAAATGCTGGGGGGTCGGCAGCGAACGCTTCGCTCCGCCCGCCAGCATTTTAAGATCGCCCCAGGCAGGCGGGGGGAAGGCAGGCGGGGGGGAGCAAAGACTTTTGCCCCCCGCCGGCCTTCAGAAGAGGTCCTCTTCTGAAGGCCGGCTGTGGGGCGAAAGTCTTTGCTCCCGACCGCCAGCATTTCCCTATGGGCTTTCGTCTTGCGATGCAAGCCCATAGGGAAATTCGTCTTGCGAAGCGCCTCCAAAACAGAAAACCCTTTCGTCTTGCGGGTTTTCCGTCTTGCGAGGCATTCGTCTTGCGGGGTACCACTGTATATCCAAATCAATACAGGATGTTGGGGGTGGAAGCTCTGATTGGAAATTTTTTACTACTCAGTGTAGATTGGGTTTTTTCCCTAGAACTTTTGCTACTACTGCTGCTACTACTACTACTAGAGTTCTGTACTAGAATCTTAATACTAGGATCTTACTGTATGTATAGCAGGAAGGTAATGGCATCTTCATCACAGTGCTGGTGGTATCTTCAGCATGGTGGCAGAGAAGGAGGTGGAAGGAGAACCCAGGCAGCAGAAGTAAGGCAGCGGGGCAGCAGGTGGGGAGGCCAGGCCGGCAATGGCGAGCCAAAGCAGCCTGAGTGGTGGGGGGCTAGCAGTGTGGTCATGCAAGGGGCAGTGCAGCCAAAACTGGGTCACGGGGTGGGTGGGCCTCCATATTCCTGCTATTTTTCAGGTGGGATTCAGCCACATGTGGGCAAATTCACATTGCACACTTAAAGCTGATTTGGAGGTTTTGTGCAACAAACCTGTTCCCCGCCCCCAAATTGGACTTTTTGTGCTAAGGAAGGTAATGGGATAAAGGCACAGGAAACTGCAGGCTGGCACATGCTCAGACCCCAAAACAAATCCAGGTGAATGCTCAATAAACTGGCCATCTGGAATCTCCCCGAGGAACATGAGAGAGGCATCAGCGTGCTTGGTGGGACCATGAATGTTGCAGAAATACAAAAACCATTATTTTTTTAAAAAAAACAAAGGAAGAAAACAAACAAACAAACAGATTAATGAGGGCTGAGCATGCTCAGTAGTCATAGAATATAAGGTGGAAAATGCCCCGCTTTGAAGGATTGGCTGTCTCTGACCCTAAACAATAACCCACCATTTAGGAGGCTGGATACTGCAGCATTTTGTTGCTGTTCCCTGTTGTTGAAAGCCCTATGGGAGCAGCACCGCAACGCTCCTGAAGCCTCAGAAATTCGGAAGTTAAAAGAGCAGCGTGGAGCTGCTTGGAAAAGAGATTTCAAATAGCTGCACACTGTGCTTTGAATCTCCATTGCAGGGCAGGCACACATGGGCTCCCAAAATTCATTCACAGGCCAAATGGGGAAGGCTGGCTGGCCATGTCTGGCCATCTCTGTTCTACAGAATAGCATGGTAAAGCATCACCTGGAATGAGCTATTACAGACTGCTGAAGGTTTTTTTTTTGGCTGGGGAGAACGTTATGATCACGTTCAGCTGACCCATTTATTGAGTATTCATCCTGATTTGTTTGCAGGGAGATTAGACTAAGTGGCATCATGCCAATGTTATCTCACCCTTTCCAAGTCACTTCGCCATCACTTTCCTTCTCTCAGAAAATCTAATCTGGGGGAGTGGGGGGTAGAGGGATTGTTGCAAAAGAGCTCCAAATCCAGCTTTAATCGCACAACTAAAATTTGCTGGTACGTAATTGAATCTCAACCCAAAACAGTGACAGTCAAGAAGCAGCCCAAGTGTTTGATTGCTCCCCTGGAACATGAATTCTCTGCACATAGAAAATCAGCAGATCAAGGTATTACTAAGCTGAAACGATCTCCCTCCCTTTTTCATCAGAGAACATTTGAAGATCCTTCGCCCCAACCCACTTCAGCTTGAAATGATACACTCCAGCATTAACTTTATCCTTCTCAATTTCTGCTGGATGCATAAACCAGACAATGGTCCTCACGTCTTCTCTTTGAAGCCCTTGAAGAACATTTTTGGGATCAGGGATGGCTTTCTTCCCTTCCGTCTTTTTCCACATATCTGGGTGTTGGGTTTCTGCACTTTCAAACATTTCAGAGGCCACAATAGCCATGCTCAATTAACTGTTAAACATTTGCATCAATTAAAAGATCATTTCCAAATCTGATGGATGAGCCCCAAATTTCCAATTCATTTTAACCATCAGGCGGAAAAGCAGCCCAACTCCCGCCGATGAGAAGTGAGAAGATGAGAATATTTCAAATGAGCTGTAACTTCTTCTTTTTCTTTCTTGTTTTTTTCCCCCTCCTTTTTTGAGAGACTGAACTGAAAAGTTTCCCAAGTGTGTATGTTATAATGACTGGCTGTGATGGGAATGAAGGACGGAACAAAATGTGATGTGGCTCATCTAGGGGTTTTAAAAATTAACTAATAGCTGTCCTAACGTCATAGAATGGTAGAGTTGGAAGCAGGAAAGTTACTTGGGCTGGGCACCTGCACATTTCACCCATGGGGCAATTAGAAGCATTGGATTCTGTGTGTGTAGGCCAGCTTCAGTTGTGCTGTCATTGCAGGGACGAATGAAGGGATGGCTAGCCTAGGAATGGGGCAGAAATTTCAGCCTGAGGACCACACTCTCTTCTGGGTAACCTTCCAAGGGCCATGTGCCGGGATGGGTGGGGCCGAAGGCCACAGTGGGTTGAGCAGCTGGTGTAAATTTTACCTTTGTACAGATACTCTCACAACCCTCTCTGACCTCCACCTAGATAAACACAGGGCATTATTAGAGTTGAAGAACCCATGCCACCCAAGAAATCCACGTTTTAAAAAAGAAACAACTTTTTGCAGTTAAGGAAGTGACTGGAAAATTCATTGAAAACTGTGGCATGTTTTTTGGGGAGACACCCTGCGATCAAACCAGGATGAACACAGAATGAATGATTCATTATTGTGTACCCTCCCCGTTATACAATAGAAAAGAATATTCAATAAAGACCAGAGCTAGTCCAACCTCCACATTAGCTTTGTGCAAGCGAATCAGGATGAATGCTTAATGAATTGGTTGTCTGGAGAGGAGCCCTAGTAGGACTTGTATGTGATGTTTTCCTGTACTACACCTCACCAAATTGGCTCAGTTAGAATGTGGTGCTGATAATGCCAAGGTTGCAGGTTTGATCCCTATTTGGGCCAGCTGTAAATTCTTGCATTGTGGGGGGTTGGACTAGATGATCCTCAGGGTCCTCCATCCAACTCTACAATTCTGTTATTCTGTTACTCTACACCAAACCTACACTATCCCTTTATTCTCATTCGGAAGCTGCTACCTCCTGAGGACAATGCCTGTGGTCATTTGCTCCCAGTTTTCTCTTTCACCATATTTCCTCCATGCAGCAACTCCAGAGGTTAAATCCCTTTGGGTTGGGGAGAGAATGCCCTGTATTTATATTGCCTGTAATTTTCAGATCAATTCAAGAACTTCACATTGCCAAATTACTCAGTTGAACCCACACTTGTCCATTCTAAACAGAGACAGCTTAAATCTTCAACAGAAGAGAACTTGAACTCTCTCCAGATTTTCTCATCCCAGTGTTTTATCATGAAAATTCTGGTTTTGGACACAGGGTGGCAGGGGGCAATGTCTTGCCCAGGAGAGGGAGGTAAGGGGGGGAGATCTTGCTGAGTTGGAGACAGTTAATTGAGAAAGACAAATCTTGGCCTAACCACTTGCATAGGACAATAGTGTAAAAACAAACAGAGAAGTCCTCTTTTAAAACCTGCTTAATGCTATTCAGAATCTAACAAGTGTGCATTTGGAACAGAAGCCAGTTCAGCACAATGCAAGAAGCAGCAGTAGTGGAGAAGCCACTGTTAGCTTTTGATTAAAAGGGGGCTTTTAATTTCCAAGGCAGCAGAAATGCAACACTAAAGGGTCTTCCAGGCTGCACTATGAAGCCAACTTGTTCCAGAAAAGTTTGACAGTACCCTTCCTCTTTCAGTCTATATGTCTATAATATACATCTGTGACAGAAACCTACTAATTTGTTCTTAAGCAGACAGGGAGGTGGAGGGGAGACTTCCTTCCCTCAAAACATACAACCAGAGAAAAGGCTATAAAAAGCATCTCCTTCTTTTTCAAGAACAAAACCAAGACAACAAGGAGGCAACAGAAAGGAAAGGAAGTACTCATATGGGATGGAGGAATGGGGCAGGCTTCAGAAGGTGCCTGGGGCCGCATAAAATGAAGTTAGGGAATACATGTGGCCCATGGACCACAAGTTACCCTGCTGTGATCTATAGCTCTCTTACCTGTCAACAGCTGTGGCAGCACAGCGGCTCTGAGAAAGAGCTAAGCATCAGGAAGTCGCTGGTTCAAATCCCATTCCATAAACTTGCTGGGCCTCAGGGAAGCCACTCTGCAATATGGCAGATAACAATACTGATTTTCTTTACAGCGCAGCTATAAAAGTAGCAACTAGATAGTGCATGTGAAGCATTATTTTCCAATGTAAATGTGCACTGAAAGCATGGTGGAAATATCTAAGTATTTCTTAATACTGGGTAAGAGATAGTAGGAAGGGGGAAGCGAGATCCAATGCAAAGCAGAAGACAACTTCACGCATTCTCCAGCATTTCACAGGTTAAAAGAGGGACACACGTATGTATACCAAGGACCAGTGCCTTGTCCCCTTGCCCACTGCTGAAGTCTCTGCTTCAGGATTTGTCAACCTGGTGCCCTCCAGATGCGAACCACAGCTCTCACCAGCACCCTGATAGCAAACAGCTATGCTGCCTAGTGCTGATGGGAGTTTGTAATCCAAAACATCTAGGGGCAGACCAGATTGGTGAGGACTGCTCTGGTCCATTGTCCTGCAGTTTGATAAGCCAAGTGGTTGTTCTTTCAGTAAGAATGGGGGTGTGGAGGGGAGGCCACTTCACATCTGGCCAGTCCTCCAAAGGTCAGGTGGGCGGGGACCAAGAGCTAAGGGGACAGGACCAGGGGCAAAGGGGGAGGCACTAAAATAAAGTTAAAATAAAGTCAAGTAAAATTAAGCCTGCTGCAAAAACTTTCACTCACACACAAGCGTTTACCAGTCCTGGGGAGAAAAAACTATGTTCAATGAGTATCTCTGTTAGACACACGCAGACTGTTTTTCAAAACAAGGCTCAGCCTGTTGTGTACTACCTAGCCTGTTGTGTACTACCTAGCCTGTTGTGTACTACCTAGCCTGTTGTGTACTACCTAGCATATTAATAATCTCCAATCATCTGCATGCATAAGCATGTGTTAAAGGTGAGATGTGTCTAACCACCCACTCAGATATTTAACTTCAAGGGAGTCTGCGGGAGAAGGTGAATCCTGAATAACGGCAATTGTAGTGACTCTAGGATTTCTTTTAAGAAGGCCTTTCCCAGAGGCAAAAGCAACAACAGCAAAAATGATGGGATACCAAGTACCCTTGGAGCTTAAAACAGTGTTTTATTTTACCTGAAATTCTCAGTATCAAAGGCTGACGTAGAAGTATTAAGAAGCCCTCTGACTGCTGCAAGAATCTGTGTAGCTTAAAAAAAATGGAGAAAGAACAATTTCCTGTCAATGACAGAAATTCACAAAATTTATATAAAATTTATATAAAATTTGTATACCTCTTCACTGTTAAACAAACAAACAAACAAACAAAGCAGTCTAGACAGAGTTCAGTAAGTGAGAAAACCCAGAACTCTGGAATAATTATAAACTTGGCATGTTTAAAAAGAGAAATTATGAACAACCAAAAAAGTTATGTATCCGGGGGGAAATCATTCAGACAGCATTTTTGATTTGCTGTAAACCCTTGATAATCTGCATGTACAAATAATGTACAAATCAAAATGTATATTCTCTCATTTTAATAATAATAATAATAATAATAATAATAATAATAATAATAATAATAATAATATTCAGTGACAAAATAAGCAACCATAGTTTTCCAAGGAACAGCAGCCTAAGATACGGACCATCTCTGGTAACCAGGGATAATCAGAGCATATGCATACCTAGAGCAGCAAGCCAGATCCAGAGTTGTATCTTAAGAATGCATGGCTGCTTTCTAAAGAAAACAATTCAAAGCTTCTTTAGCTCAGCAGAGTATTCAGCCGGTAATAATCTTTGACTCTCACAAGGGACCTTGTGTTGCGCTGGGAGCAGCTAATCGCTCCTCAAATCATCCTTTGCTTTTCGTGATGTGAGTGCGTGTGAGAGTGTTGGTGGTGGAATAGCAATATTTGCATGTAGCGCCGTGTGCATCAATGAACTTTTTTTTTTAAAAAAAAAAAGCCTTATGGAGGAATTCTGTGCATGCATTCAGTGGGGATCACTCCTATTAAGTATGCATAGGATTGCAACTTGTTTATAAGAGGGGGTGGGGGAGACAGAGGAAGACTTTTGGAAGTTGAACTCATCGGACAAGTTTGCTCTGGATTCTGATAGGATGCAGCGAATCCCTCAAATTATATTTATTTATTTATTTCATTGACTAACGAAATAAAAGCTAGCGAAATGTTTAAGCTCCTTCAGCTGCTCAGATGTGAATTAGAGGGCGCTATCAACTGTTGTGTGTGTATTAGCTGCCTGTGATTATTATTCTTCAATTGATATATTCATCCCAGAAACAGTGACAAATAAAAGTCATGGCAAGTTTATTTATAATGTGCTTACAGCCCAATTTAGTGTATTATTATTATTATTATTATTATTATTATTATTATTATATCCCACCTTTTCCCCTGACAGGACTCATGGCAGCTTACAGATAAAACAAGAACTGCTAAAAATATAGAAAAATAAATCATTAAAGTACAATTCAACATTATGTTTGAATGTTGAATGTGTGCATTTATGTTTAGAAAAAATGGATAAAACAAACACATTAGATGTAAATAGGTGTTTAACGGTTTTTGTATTTATATTTGTATTTGCATTTGTTTAAAAACAAGTAAAAATAGTTTTTAAAAATGCAATTAAACATTGATAGAATTAAAGCTGTATGCATATTAAAAAATCTCTTTCAAAAATACAAATAATGACAATGAAATCATTTTGTATGCCATGATATTTTATTTCTACTGTTGTTGGTTTCATTTTGTTTGAGTCTATGATTGCATAATATTTAAAAAAATTGTTTCTGTACAATGCACACTCTTTAAAATAAAATAAAAAGGATCCAGGAATACCACATGTAAATGATTAACTTTACATTGTCTTAAATGCTTTCAAGAAGTTTCTAAGGGAAGCAGCCTCTGCTTCAGTCAAGCTATTGCTGCACAAAGCTTTCCGATCCGATTCCTGCTGGAAAAAAAGTTTTGACTAAAGTTAAGTCACTTTCTTATTTGTAGATTTTCAACATTTGGCAAGCTGCCAACTTAACCCCCTATCCTTTCCCATCTTCCTGTTATCCCTGGGCTTTCAGAGTGACTTTCTCCCACTTGAAATTCAGTCCCTTGCGGCTTGGGATTTCCAAACCTCCCCCCTCCCCCGCCGGAATACTGGACACTTTTTCCTTTTTTTCACGTTTTCTTCCCTCCCTCAATTTGATGTGACAGACCAGTGACATGAATAATGGACGCGGTCCTTTCACAGGCAAATCGATTTAATTTAGCATGCCTTTCTACTGCGACACACACAGCTGCAATCCCGCAGATTCCTCAAGATCCTTCAAGGCTTGGGGGAAAAAACTTTAGAAACCAGCATTTTTAATCTGTCAAAATGTTGAATTCAGGAGGAGGGAAGTTTAGGTCCTAGATGGGGATCACCTGCATCCATGTGCTTGTCATATCACTGTCATTTTATCCTACTTCCAGGGAGCTCAGGGTGATGTACATGATATGCCATTCCACTTTATCTCAACACCAACAACCCTGTAAATTAGGGAAGCCTCAGAGAGGGTGATCACAGTGCAGGATTTAGGGTGATTCCCTCGCACATGGTGCCAAGCCAAAGGCATGCCAAATTGAGAAGATCCATGATTGAGAAGATGCATTTGGGAGAGCCAAATTTTGGGCTCGCATAGGGATCCATATTATGAAAGATTACCGAAGTCCACTGCTGGTGACTGGTGATTAGGTCACCCAACAACCTGAATGGCTGAAAAAGGATTTGAGCTTGGTTCTAAGCCATGAGTATGAACATGTGACTATTGATCTTCCTGGCTGGGACTGGTGGAATTTAGAATTCAACATTTGGGAGCCCACAAGTTACCCATCCTTGGACTAAAACCTTTTCTCTGGTCACCACAGTGGCTCTCACTTTGTATAGCAAGTGCTGGATCTCTACTTAGGATGCACTTGGTTCAACCACGAGAGTAGTGGATGCCAGCAAGCCTGGTCCAGGCAAGTCAATGTGAACATGGAAAGCCAACCAATGGTCTACCTAGCTCAGTATTGTTGTCAGCCATGATTGGCTTTCCAGGCTCTCGAGCAGAAGTCTTTACCAGCCCTACCTGGAGATGCTGGAAATCGAACCTGGGACCTTCTGCATGTGAGGCAAATGTTCTACCATTGAGCTATGCTCCCTCCCAGAAAGATTCCCATGAAGGTAGGAATTTTGGGTGCTGGAGATGAAATAAGAGCAGAAGAGCCCTGCTGTTTCAGACCAAAGGCTTATCTAATCCAGTCTCCTGTTCTCCGCAATGGCCAACCAGATGTCTGTTGAGAAAGTCCACAAGCAGGACATGAACACTATAGTCTTCTTCTGCTGTTGTTCTGCAGCAACTGGTATTGAAAAGGAACCTGCCTCTGACCCTGGACGCCACATATAGCAATTATAACTGATAGATATTGACAGCCATATTCTCTTTCATGGATTTGGCTAATCCCCTTTGGGCGTCAGCTAAGCTGGTGGCCGTCAGCACTATCAACCAATTATGTAGGGTATGAACATATATTCAGAACCAGCTAGGATAGTTCTCCTAGCTTTTGAGATCTTCCAAGAACAGAATCAAGTGTTTGCAAAGGAGAAATCAATAGTACACCCAGTGGCTCATCTAGTCCACCATCCTGTCCTCACAGGAGCCAGTCAGGTGCCTCTCTGAGGAGCTCACAAGCAGGGCAGTATAGCAACAGCTTACCTCTCTCATGCATGTTCCTCAGCAACCATTGTTCAGAGGCATCCTGTTGGTAATCTTACCCTCCATGAATTTGTCTAATCCTCTTTTAAATCCATCCAAGCTGGTGGCCATTGCTGCCTCTTGTGGGGAGCAAGTTTCATAATTCAACTATTGTGCAATAGTGTGAAGGACTCTTTTGTCTGTCCTGAATCGTCCAACATTCAAATTCACGGGATGCCCGCAAGCTCTAGTGCTATGAAGGAAGGCCATAGACTGAAACTTCTCATTGAACTGCACAATCCAGAACCCATGCACCCTAAAGACATGCACCCCATCATTTGCAAACCCATGTCTTAAGATCTGTAGGGCAGGCCATACTCCTCCTTCCCTACAAATCTTCTCAAGATCAGTAGAGGGGGCCTTCTTGGTCAGTCCACTTGCCTCAGATGTTTGGGGCAGCTGGTGATCAGGAGAGGGCATTCTCTGTAGCAGTCCCTAAATTGTGGGATTCCCTCCCCACAGAGGTGTGTCTGGCACTTTCAGTGTACACGGCCTTCATTGTATGTTGAAGGTGGACCTCATCACTCTCACCTTTGACTATATATATATGGACCCACTCTTGTAATTCGTTGCAAGATTGTTATTTTTGTTTTAAACTGTTTTTAATGCTGCAGTTTCTGCTGCTGTAACCCACCCTTGGACCTTCTGGTGAAGGGTGAGTAATACATATACATCAGTAGGGCATGAGATTCTTAATCTCAAGGTTGTGGGTTTGAGTCCTATGTTGGGCATGAGATTCCAGCATTGCAGGGGTTGGACTAGATGGCCCTTCTGAAGTTCTATGAGTCTAAGATTCAATAAAAGTTATGCCAATATTCACATTACATGAGGCAATGGCACAAAGCAGGGATTTTAAGTCAGGAGTAACCAGCATGATGACCTCTAGAAGTTGATGGACTACAACTCCCATCATCCCTGGGCATTGGCCATACTGGTTTTATTTTATAGTGTTGGTTTCATAGTTTTTTACATATGGATTTGTATAATATATCGTTATGTTCCTCTCTGGGAACTGTTCAGTTAAAGGGCAGAATCCTATTGACCTTGGCAATTTAGACGTAGGTAGTAATCAGTAATCATAACTCTATCCTCCACCCTTTGGGTTGGTCACTCCTGAGTGTGATCGAATGTTGGGAAACTATTTTTGATAGAATCAAATGAGTAATTTGACATTTGTCAACAGACGCCTCTATTCTTCTAACTGGGCTCTGAGCAGTAATCAATTAGTAGGCTCAAATAATTCATGAATGGCTGATTAAAATGTATTGGATTTTAATTGCAGCTGGCTTCTTCAAGTGGATCTTACTGCCGATGTACCTTTTTTGCAAACAATTTCTCTTCTTGAAATCTAAGCAATGCATTTCACTTGATTTTGATTATTATTTAGAAGAAAAATTCAAGATGGAATCCACTTACGGTACCTAAGAATAAGTCCTACTGAGATCACTAGGGCTTACTTCTGAGAAGATACGTTTAGTACTGCATTGTCAGCCTTTTCACAATCCTGTGCAAGTTTACTCAGAAATAAACCGCACTGTGTTCAATAGGACTTCCTAAGTATGCTCAGGATGCCTCAGATTAGCTTCTCTTAAGGGCCAACTGTTGTGAGGCTGTGATTTCTTTTAATTGGCATTAAAATATCTGATGGTAAAATATCTTTTCATTTATTTATTTTTAAATCCCATAAAAGGATTTATATATGTTTAAAGGAAGAAATGAAATTTCATCCATTAGTTGGCTGGAACCAATCCTTTCCAAAGTTTGAAATATAAATATAACTCTATTGTGCCACTAGTTAAAATCATTAAAACAACAGCTGTATTAAAATGCAACCATTAAAAAAAATGCAAATATGGTCCCCATACCGATATTCATCTAGAGCAACCAACATAAAACTCTGCAAGCTGTTCAAAACCGTTTCTGCTCTTTCCCAGATTAGTTCAATTTGGAAGGGAAGGAAAAGTCTTGTGGTGAAAAGGACCTTCATACCCCCAGGTCTGCATGTAATAAGTGGTTAATCAGCCAATTAGGGGGAACAGACAATTACAAATTGGGTAGCAGGGAGAAAGGAGAAAGAAAGGAAAAAAGATGGCCAAGGTAAAACCTAAGCCTTTTGAAAGGATCTCTAGCTTTAACCCGTAAAGAATTATACTTGAACATACCTGATTTCATTGTCCTGCCTACACTGTCCCTGATCCTTGTTTGGCCCTCTTAACTGATTAATGAACTAGCAATTACCTCCCAATCTGGT